ACGAACGGGTGCGAAATATTCTCCGATCAAACAGAGCTACCGCCACGGCACGCCTTGAGGAAGTTTCTGTAGTGCAATGAAGTGCAGAAACCAGAGCTGAACCCTCGCCAGAGTGAGGCGTGTGACTTATGGAATGTGTGTGTGTGTGTGTGCGCTGGCGGCTAGTATGCATTTAAGCATTTGCAGCAGATGTCCCATGCTGCACGACGTCTGACTCGACGTGTGGCGGGTTCTGCCGCTGGCTTCGCCAAGCCATGCGCCGTCAGAGAGCCGACAGAATCCGGGTTTCGCTTCAGGTTTGTTGCCAGCTTCTTGGAGTCTTGGTTGAAGTACACGACGTGATGTCTTTCGGGCCTACCTTGACTGGTGAGGCTCCGAAGACGTAACAGCCGAAACCGGGATCTTGCGGCTAGTCTGCGCAGCGCCTGCTTGAACAAATTGCATCCTTCATTTCTTGAGGGTTCGTGGAAGTTCGATTTGAGCGAGACTTGAGCTCAAGGTCAACAGACTGTCGTGAGAATCAGGATACTCAGAGATACGATTGTGAGTCAAGCAGCGTAGCACCACGAATCAAAGAAATGTTGTCCAGTGTTTATTTTGGACAGGTGTGCTGCGTCGAAAGATGCGCCTACATCTGCCAAGCTGCTTCAGGAACGCTGTATCTCTTTACACCCTAGCGTGATCGAGTGCAGGTCCTGGATTTCTGAAGCTTCAGAGCTTCATTTATTCCATCCCACTGAGATCATGCCAGAAGCATGTTCTTAGTGGTCAGAAGGGAGTCGAGCCGGTTTGCACTTGCCGCTCCCGACCTTAGGAGGAAACTGTCTGACGCAGTAGTCCACGAGAGGCGCTGCCAGAAAATTGCACCCAGAAGTTGGAGCGTCTGAGACTTGAGAGTGCCAGGTCATGTTGTTGACACATTCTGACACTGTCGGAGCCGCAGCCGTTTGTTTGGATCGCTCTTGGCATCTTGCATCCATCCGCCGTCTGTACGACTCCACGATGAACACGACGGCCTTCGATGTCGAGAGTCTCAGCCCAGGCTACCCTCCTGACAGCCCTCCAGTGCCGCGATTCTTCAAGTCCAAGGATTCGAAGATCGTGAAGCCGGTGAAGAGGGAGGAGACGCTCGAGTCCGTCAGCCAAGGCAGTACAGCCGCGAGTCGAGGATTCTTCGCCAACTACTCGGACGATGAGAATTCCGAGCCGGATTTCGGCTTGAATGGCATGAGCTTGCGTGGACCCCCCGGACTTTGTCAGCAAGCTTCTTGGCGGATTTAAGCTCTCACGTCTTGTCTCTTGCCTTCGGAGTGCCTGTGGAGCCGTGGAGCTAAGGCGCCACCAGTTACGGTTGCACCGTCGTTGGAGTCATGGGCAAGTCATGCAAGCCCGACCAGTCCAGAATCGGGACGTGAGATTTTCCGTCGCCTCGAAGAGCTCGAGACTTTGAAGGCGGCGCTGTCTCAGTTGGAGGCGGAGCAGAGGATTGCGATCGCTCAGGCACACGCGCGGCCAGACCCGGCGTGGAATCCCAGTATTTGGAAGTGAATCCCGTGCAAGCGCGCCTGCTACGCCGTGTCTCAGCTTCTTTAATCTGGTCATGGCCATGACTGCACTTCCTATGAGGCTTTCATGGCGAGAATGCCAGCTGCGATGTTGAGTTCTCAGGCGGCTGCGCGGCAGAAAGCCCTCTTGCAAGAGTGGAAGAGTGTGAGACACACAGATGTCCCCGATATCCCGAGGCGATGTTTCGGGCTCCGCAGGAGCCAAGCGATCTCGGTCGATCTTGGCCAGCAGCTCCCCCGGGCCAGAGCTTCCAGCCGTCGCTCCTGTCCACCGTTGCGACTCCCAGCTTCCAAGACTTGCAAATTCCG